AAAAAGGCAGGGATAAGTTGATTAAACATTACCACAAATGCAATTGGGTACATTGTGTTTCTCTAATATTAGACCCTCGAGTCAAAGCTGCTGGTTTAAAAGCAACGAAGTGGGGTCGAGAAATGTTAGATCAGACACTTGATAAATTTAGATGTCTATACCAAACATACAATAATCATTATGCAACAGCTTATTATGAAAGGCCGTCAATCAAAAAACAAAAAATCCAAGGAGACGATTCTCTTGATTTCGATGTTCTTTTCGTTAAGCCTCAAACTTCAATTTCTACAGAAAAAGAAATTAATGATTATTTAGAAGCGCCCAGACCAGCCTCGAATACTGACATATTGATGTGGTGGAAAACATATTCGAGTGTTTATCCAATAATATCGCGTATGGCGAGGGATATACTCTGTATACCAGCAACGTCCGTACCGGTGGAAAGGCTATTCTCTGAAGCAGCTTTAGTTTTAACAAAAAACAGGTGTTCTTTGCAAGACGAAAGTCTTAGAGAGTTAATATGTATTAATAGATGGATGCACAGTGCATACAGAAAGGAAATTTGTGAGGTTAATTTATAATTTTTTATTATTTTTAATGTTCATCATGTATACAGACAACTGTATTAGTTTTAGTATTTATTGAAATTATTAATAATAATATATTGATCAAGCAAACGTGATAAAAAAGAACTTCGTTCTAATAGCTTTTTTTTACCTACAAATTCCGCAATAAAAAAAAAGACCGGTTTGATCGATAACTTATCGATAATTTATCGACTATCGTATCGATTTCGATACAATACGATAATTTTTTTTAAATATATCGTCGATATCGATACGATACGATATAGAAATTATTAATCCGATACGATTCCGATATTTAACATAATTATCGATATCGTATCGTATCGCGAAGCCCTAATAGGTAGTCGTATTTGTAAGATTTATTTCTGATGTTTCATGGTATTTTTATTAAGAATTTCTGCTCCATCGTGTGTTTTATTGCCAGGGTAATTTGAGTTATATATAGAATATTACGATATTTTCAAACAATTTTTGTGCATGAAGTGGGTTTCGAATATTAATATTTTATCAATATCATTATTTATTAGAAAAGTTTTTATTTTAAGACTTCTTTGGGCTAATCCGTTTGCGTTTTCAACAACTATTTTAATTTCTGTCTTCATTTAATCTTTATATATTATTTAATCTAATTACAACGCTCATAAACAATGAGCGTTGTTATCAGATTAGCAGCAATATATCTATCCTCTTCATCAGTTGCATCATAATAATTTTCAGCTGTTATTTACTGGTGATAGTTGAATTCTATTTCTTTTGAAAGCATTACCATTTATTGCCCGCACATACGTGAGGTGTGGCTTAACGCGTTATTTTCGTTAATGTTCGTTAAGTTTTCTTGAACTGTATCCTTTATAGCTAGCTATAGCTACTGTAAGTTGCACATTTTACTTCTTTTATTTTTGTCTGTATCGAACATTCGGCAGTAATTTGTGGTGTGGCCAAAATCCTGACAGCGAGTACATTAGAGTATCTCTCGTTCTATGTGGCGGTTCAAAACTAATGATTTGATTCCGACGTGTTGTGATTTCAAAAATTCCTTTATTGTTTTCTTCGATTTTTAATTCTATGAAAAATAGCAGAATGAGTTGTATTGATATTCTGTATTTGACGTTTGTGATTTTAATAACATTTTTATTATGTGATTTAATTTCGGTTGTTAATTGATGTATATCGAGCGATAGGTGCATATTTTTAAGACAGTTTTATATGGTTTATTTACTTTACTATGATACGTATAGGATAATGTACTTTTATTTTTTAATTTTTTAACGGTTGGAATAAATAATTTCGGATTTTCTGTCTGTATTTTAACTTGATTATTATGGAGAACTTTGATGGTATAATTATTTTGGACAACGTTATTAAATAATTCTTTTAGGGGGTATATATTTATTACACTACTGACGAAGATGGGCAGCGATCTTTGGTTGTTCTTATTTTCCTTCGTATTGGTAAGTTTTTGTCGGAGATCTTTCCATTAATTTGTACTTACATGTAATACTTTAAATGGGTTTTCTGTTTTAACTAATATATTTGGTATACCATGTCAGTAATCTCAAATGCCCGTTTATCTTTTCTTAATAATTTTGTTTTCTATAGAGCTGCTCCTATTTCTCTTGTTTCTTACTGTTTCCATTGAGCTGTTTCTTTTTTACTTATTTTTTTTCTTGCAAAGCATGCTCAGATTTCTGAGCAATGGCCATGTATGTTTCTTGTCTATATCTATCAATTATTGCATTTTTATTTAACTATAATTACTTTGGTTTATAAGAGCTTTGAAATTAATTGTAGATAGCTTATTTCTATTTTATGTATTACTAGCACTCATCTGCTCTGCATGAAAGCTAACACAGGTAATTAACAACATGAAATGACAGAACTACTTTAAATTATACTATAACCAAACAATGCAGTCGTGTATCGTCAAACAATTAGTCTATTTTAAGAGATTTTATAGTTTATAGTAACGTTTTTTTTAACAGGATAACTAATTTATTAGGCAAACGTCTTATGTAAAATAATGGGTGGCATGAACAGCAATAGAAGAATTTTGAGGGAATAATAAACTTATAAAAGAAGAGTAGTATCAGACCCGAAATGCTATTGTGATCACGAGTTACAAAACCTAAATCATATAATTTGACAGTATTCTGTCTAGAATAAACAGAGACTAAAATTGATCAGATTATTAGCCACAAATAAACTCTACCTCCCACTTGATATGATAAGCCTCTTGAGTCTACCAAACATAAAAGTTATGCGCATAAATATTAAAATTTTTTAAATATTGTAATATAAAAATGTGAAGTTACATAAAAAAATATTATGAAAATCAAGCGTATATCTAAAACTGTATATAGTGAAATCTCCGAAAATATCAATTTGAAAATAATTTGCTATGTTAAACAAAAACTCAGATATATACATATCTAAAATGAGTAATCGATGTGTATGATATTTCTTATCTTTTTTTGTGTTTTATTATTTATTTTTTGTACATAGTTTATTAACGTATGTATAGACAAGTTCATAAAGCTTTAAATCAAAAAAAAATCTATATAATATTTTTAGTTATAGAAAAACAATAATCAATGTAATTTTTTGTTTATTTTGTAAAAGTTGTATACATAATCTGTATAGTTGAGTGATAACCATTTTGACTATATATTAGTTTTAATGATTTTAATTTTATAGATTTGACAGATCTATGTTATTAACTGGTCATAGCAGACGTAGAGTGCACACGGTACTAAATAGTTTATCACAATCGACTAATACTGTATCATAGTCATCTGTCTCAGAAGTTTGTGTAAAGATCAATTTTAGCTTTTTATCCATCATATTAAGTACAAATTTTATCTTCAGACAAGTAGCCTGATAGGTTAATACACAGTAATCATGTTGACGTTGTTGAATATGTATCTTCTTATTTACTAACTTTTAGATAAAGTTATTTGGTAATTAGGAAGTCAGTACTGTACTTTGGATAGACAGTCTTTCAGTAATTCTTATATTATCTGATACTGGTGACTAGATTTTAGAATATGCTGAAATATTCAAGAACTGCTACTTTCTGCCGAATCTATCAAGTTAAAATTTTTCAGGTCTTATATCTATTATAAAAGATGAGCTTTGGACTTGCTATTAACAAATTATCAAATGAAATAGATTTTTTTTTGTAATAATTTGGTAAAATCTAGTTCTCATCATTTTTCCATGTTTTTATATTTATAATCAACAAATTTAATAATTTGAGACAATGAGTTTTTTTTTATGCACTTTCAATATGGTTAGTTGATATTGACTCGTCGGCTATCAAAAAAACACTTGTTTTAAAGATGAACCACGAATATTTTAAAAATATGAGTGTATGTATGCGTATATGTATTCACGAGCGGATATAAATGTACATGTGCGTTGTGTGTGTACGTGGCAGTACAAATCTCACAGTCCTTGTAATAGGAAACTTGCTAAGTACGTTTCTTAATAAGTTCAGCTGAAAATAATAATTATCATGAATTTTAAGTCAAAGTCCTCCTCTTCTTACAATTTTTGCTCTCTCTCCTTTCTCTTTTATGGCTTACACTTTCTCCAGATATCCTCATCATCTTCGTACAAAGTATTGTAGGATCTTTTATTACTAATTCTCCTGTTTTTACCACACAATCTGGTTGATTTATTAATTTACTAAGAATTAGATTATGTAAGTTTGTCTTACGCTTAAAATCTCGTTAATTTTTGAGTCACCTCATCTTATGCTATTTGATTATATTGCATTCAAATAACGCAAATTTTTTAAATATAATTGACACGACTACCGTAAGTTTGCTAAAAACAAGGACATCCTTACATTCAAATTTCATAATAGAATTCAGGATCATATCTTAACGTAAAAATAATCCATGGTTTCGTAATCTATGGTTCTACAGTCAATATTAAATATTTTGAGCATTATTAAAATTGCATTACTTCTAATTACGTGCCCAGCCTGTATCGACTGCAAAACTGCTCACATTATTTTAGTTTTCACTTGATAGTAACTCGTAAGAGTGACTGGAATCGTCTTTCACATAAGGTTTCTCGAAATCAATTTTTACACAAATTAATTGTCATTCGCTGGTTATTCTTGAGCTACTGATTTGAAAGGTATCATCAATCGATTAATGATTGATTGGTTTCGGTAGGGTTAAATAACATAACGTTATTTTTATCTCTAATTTTAAATACATTATTTTGCTACATATATTACAGAGGTTGAAAAGGTACGTTGAATAATCCAATAAATAAAGAAATTTTATATCTACACAGTTAACTATTATAACGTCAAATTCACTACTTGATATAGGAAAGTTGAGCAAAGAAAGCAGACAATTAAATTAAACAAAAATATTTATTTATTCATTAAAAGCTTAAGTACTGGCCGCTTTTTTCTATAAGAGTCCTATTTACAAATAAGATTATGGAACGAAAAAAACATTCCTTACTTATTTTACCTACAGCTTTATTTAACAAGTGAGCAAAATAAACGAACAATCTTCCAAGACTGATTCAACTTAAATGCCACTTTTTCATGTAGATATATCTTTATATTGTGATTTGCATACATTACTGGCCTTTTGATTTACTAAGGATCACATTTTTTAAGTTTGCATTAAGGAAACTTTTATAAATATTTGTGTGTGTATGTGTGTGTGTCATTGCCAATAATCAGTAGATGCTGTACATGCACTTTAAATAATATTTTATGTATAATATTATATTATCCTACCTAATAATAAATCTATGACTGTTGGTTGCGTTTGCCATATCAATAGAACGTGTGTGCACTGACGATGGGTACTAACATAGATTTGGCTGCGGTGAAATATGTAGTTTTGATAAATTATAGTGGAAATGATTAGAAAACCAAATAGATATAGATATGGATGTTTGAACAATCTGATTATTCGTAGTAAAACGAAAAAAGACAGAAATAGAATAAAAAGAAATAAAAAATCACCTCCACTCGAGCGTTAACGAAGCTCAGTCTTATTTACATTGGAGAGAGAGAGAGAGAGAGAGAGAGAGAGAGAGAGAGAGAGAAAGAGAGAGAACGGATGTGTGCATATGTATGGGAAAAAATAGTTCTGTGGGTGGTAGCGTGGACAAAGGTGTTTTTAGCTCGATTACAGGGTAGAGAAGAGCCTTGGTGAGAAGAGCTGACGAGTGCAAGGCAGCCGGAACAGAAATAAATAAAGGATCGGCTTTATATACAGGGGAAGAGGAGAGTTAGTGCTGTTAGAACAGGTGCTAAAGCGACACCTCGGCAGCAGGCCTCTTGACGGGGGTATCCAGGCTGAGGTCAAGGGGATTGCCTTTTGCAGGAGCCTCGGGGCTGACTGTGTCGCCTGGCGAAGACGTTTGGCGCGAGTCAAGCAGCTGCTGGCGCTTGGGGCTGCACTCAGGACTACAGGAGTGACTGGTCGAGGACAAAGCGCCGGACGAGCGTCGCCGACGGCGCTTACTTAGGTGCACTGGCTTAGCTGAGCGCACGCTCAGGTCGATAGGTTCAAGCTGTTCGACGGCAACGCCGCCTGGACTAGGGCTGGCCAGCAGCAAATCGCCACCACGTAGCAGCGAATGGTGGGAGGCTGCCGGGGTTATCAGTTCGGTAGCCGGATATAAAAAGTGATGATTATGGATGGTTGCATGATGGGGCAGATAGTCCGTAGTTAGTGTGAGGGTGGCATTGATTTTGCGCCTCAGTGGTTCGCCTTCTTGCTGCTTTTGTTGATCGAAATGACGATGATCCTGATGCTGCTGGCGATGATGATGAGAATGATGTTGTTGCTGTTGCTGGTGAAAATAGGCTCGCGTTGTTGAGGAGTCGTCATCGGGACCGTCACTCTCTTGAGAAGAAGCGCCACTGTCGCTGGGACTGTCGCTGGTGCGCTTATACACGGAGGCAGGCAGAAATGGGCGGAAAACTTCGAGCGAGCTTGAGGCTGCGGCGGCCGCGGCTGCAGCAAGGTTAACTGCGTGGAAGATGGATGAACCAGCCGGCGGCTGCGGCTGAGAAAAGGACAGCGGCGGAGTGGAGCTTCCGGCGCTGCTGCTATTACGAAGCGGTGACGTACCCGCGACACCCGTCAGAACTGGCTGTTGCTGTGGCTGTTGTTGGGAAGCTGGTGGCAGTGGCGGCGGCTGCGGCTGTGGTCGATCGTTCGAAACCTCAGCAGCGGTGCGCCAGCCTAAAAGCTTGAGTTGATTCTGCAGGCCTAGCTGATCGTCTGCCGGACAAGGCGACTTAGCACCGGCGAGGGCTAGCGCCGCGACTTGAGCTTGAGCACTGCGCTCTCGTGATTTTTGCTTTATCATGGCCACGTGAAGCAGGTGCGACTGGAGTGCCAGATCCTCCCGACTTGGCGAGGTCTCCTCGCAGACCTCTTTGGCTGGAGGATGGCCGCTATTAGGACCTTGTGGCTGAAAGTTAGCCAGCAAACCCTGTTGAATGGCATTGGACTGCAGCCCCGGCAGGAAATTAGGCAGGAAGCTCGCAGGAAAATGCGAGGACTGTAGACCTGTAGCACTGCTACCGCTATTGGTCTGCTCCTGTAGCAGGCAATGGATCTTGAACCAGTTGGAGCGACGCCCATAGCGCGAACCCGACTTTGACATGCCGACCAACAGGCATTTCCTCAGTCGGCAGGCCTTGCACGCCGTCCGATTCTTCTTGTTGATTATGCAAGCGCCACCGTTCTTGCATTCTGATATGCTGCCAAGATTGTTGTACGTTCTACCGAAGAAGGACTGCAAACAGACACACAACCTAATTACAAACTTGAGGATCATTCTATCTTTCCTCCTCCCCTTCGACTGCTTTTTTGATATCAAACATAATTAATTCTTTTTTGCTTACAAAATTCAAATTTAACAATATCATTTTGTTGTATGCATTTAATGTTGCGAACATATTATTTATCCTTTGATTCACTGGCAAAATGGCTAATAAGTGTGATATGGCGTTTTGTTGCCAACGAGTCAGTAATAATCGTCGTTTAAATGTAGAGTGGCACATTAACGATAAGTTAATGTGTCATTCTACATTATAGTAAGTATAATATGCTATTCTACATTTCGGTATTTAGTAATATTGATATTTTCAATACGCAAATTGCTATTATCGTTAATCTATTGATCCTCCTTCCCACTCTTCTCCGTTCCTGCTCTCTTACTCTACATATATCTCTAATACTATTCGATTTCCACAGAGGCATGGCACTCTTATTTTCTTATTGGGACCCTTATTCATAGACTCACAAGTTATAATAACATTCGTTTTACTATTGATAAACTATACCTCGCACTATTTTAATAGACTATTTTCCGATTTCCATTCTGTAAATAATTATAATCATGGTTTTTTCTCAGTCATTAAATTACCTGTTATGTTTTACAAATTATATAGATGATGCAATAAAAAAACTTGGTTGTTCGAGAAGAAGAAGATGAATCAATGAAACGGATATCTTCTGGATTATAAATTTGATGAATCACGATAATTGTGAGATATAACTGTATCAGACTGACTACTTTGAATAGAGAGAAGCGACTACTTTGGATAGAGAATGTAGCTTGCGTAATGTTGATTTGATAGTTATAAAGCTGGAATTTTAGCAAAATTCAAATCTGGTGTCGTTAATTTAGCGGAGGAATATTAACGATCTTGAATAAGATTTTTATTCGAAGATACATGAAATAATGAAGAAGCGAACGCTATGAAATATCGAGAGTCACTTTTAGAGACTATTTTACAGAACATAAAGATTGGATACGACGTTTAGATTTGGAAATATAAAATTCTCGTCCTATTATCGTAATTTCGCAATATAGATGCGAAATTGTATTCTCTCTTCTGATAAATACGAGAGAAAAATAATTTACACATACTCATATATGTATACACATACCATACTTTATTTGTCATTTGTATGTGTGTATATGTGTACATATATACATATCCCTATATATTAAACATAGATGCACTCAAAATGAGATTACTATAGGCAAAATGTGCTAAGTTTTAATTAAAAAAGTGTTGGTAACTTACGAGATTTCATTCAATACTAATAAAAATAAACACAAAATGAGATATGACACGACTTATTGAATAATATTTAACACAAGCTCTAAAGCATTCTTAAACAACTCTTCTTTTTCAGATAAATGAAGAAAATACACCTAATAAGAAACTTTTTGAAGAAAAAGTTTTTTCGTCGTGAAATATATAAATAAGTTATGAATATCAAGATTACCTATATTTTTAGTATAAGTTTAATGTAATTATAGATAAACATAGCTTTTGAAAAATAAAATAAAAATCGATATTTTAACGTTAATAACTCGAATAACTAAATTAATTTTGATAGATTGTCAAATTTTCTCTTTGACTATGTGTAGAAATTCAAAACTGGATTATAAAAAATATTATTGAAATGTTTATTGATAATTCATCGTTAAGTTTGGGTATTCTCCCATATTTATATTCACGAACAACAAAAGGGGTAACATCCGGCTTACGCGCTCGAAAATTTCTAAACAAAATGAATTAGAAACAACAAACCAAATGGTGTATTATTGTTATATATTTGAAAATATTTGGATAGCTTAATATAAATTAGTTAAAGAGAAATTCGAAGAGCTGAATAATTCTGTTATCTGAGCACAACGCGACTGCTGCAAAATAGATTTTGTCTTCGGGCGTAATTTAAATCGCTGGAGCTGTCACTATTTGATCAGTCATAATTTCACAGCGATGCACCGTACCGCTATAGCTGGAGTAAACTTTAAACCCGGACACAGTTTCATATATGGTATAGATATATATTTGTTCCACCTAGTAGTGTATGTGTGTGTGTAAGGTGTATCCGTACGTATGTACATATTTCTTTTTTTCAATTTGAAGATTAGCTAGTTCTTGCTTATGTTATAAAAACCATAACTTTGTAAAATTGTAATATTTTTTAATACGTTAGTGAAATTTAATTTATGTGCTGCCTAAATTATTTGATAAAAATTATATTAATTATCTAATAAGTGTTAATTATTAAATATCTATTGAATACGCGCTCTTTGATCGAAAAAACCTCATATGGTTGAATTTAAAGGTCATATTTGATGTCTGGTAATGATCAATAGTGATCACGCCCATTCGCCAATACAGTATTACTCTTTTTTTAAAAATTGAAATATTGAAACAGACACTATTTTTTATGTTTGGTGCTCAATTTATATAATACACAAAATTCCTGATCAAATTCATCGATACTATATCCTGATGTATTTTTTCGGGATACATAAGATTTAAAAATAAACAAAACATTCAGATTTTCTAAATAAAGGTCGATGTCGTCTCAGTGTAATATACCTAAGGTTCTATATACACCTTTACTGTAAAAGAATGTGAATGAAAGATATTCAGTTCATCCTTGTAAAGTCAGGATGAATAATTTTCAGCAAGATGTTTAGGAAAATAATACTTTTTTTTAAATGAGTGCAACACTAGATATACATACTGTCATAAAAAAACAAATTTCTAATCGGATTCCGCGCTTTGTGCAGAGTAATTTTTAAGCACCTGTGGAGATTCTACTTGTAATTTTGCTTATCTCTTTAGACTCGTAAACATATTTTCTCTATTTTGCATTGGATGTAATGTAACAGTAGATGGATTAAGTGAATGTTGGATATTTATCCAGATAATGGAGCTTAAACACTCTTATCAATTTTAAAAAATATTAAACTCTGAAGCAAGATCAAAAGGTATCAATCGCGTAACAATGTGTGTGTGTGTGTGTGTGTGTGTGTGTGTGCGCGCGCGCGCGTGAGTGTATACATGTGTATTGATGTTTTCAAGAAGATGAATAAAGTAGTGTTAACATGGCTCAAAAGAAATAAAAGTATTTAAAACTAATGAAGCCACAATTATCGAAAAGCGGACAAAGACACAATGTTATTAAAAATAAAGAAAAAAATATTAGTAAGCGAAAGTCGTGAGTCAAGTAAAAGAAGTAATATGTCGAAATAGAGAAATGTTTAATGCACTTGCCCCTAAACGAAGTCTACAATGTATATATGCAACGACATGCTATGAACCGTATATAAGTCTGTGCGAACAATTAAGGATAAACGAACCCACGGGTCTCGTCAATCACGTTGGGGCCACGTGGCCAGGGGCAAAAATGACTGCCGATAATGCTTAAGACGGGCCCTAGATCGTATGTTGCAGTTGCCGATTGAATCAACGCGAACTGTTATTAACCCAAGAGTAACAAAGACTTTGGTCAAGTAACAAATTTGCATCACACTACAGTGACTATAGCTCGTTCGGCAGCCAAGGTCGTGCAATATATATAATCACGACCACGAGTAGGCAGTCACAGTAGACAGTATCAGTAATACGAGTCCATTGGAAAAAATGCAGACAGAAAAGTGCTCCTAAGAATCAATACTGGTTATTAGTATGCTAATTGACGTCCCACTTGTGCCTAACTATTCTTTTCGATTCTGCTTAATTCCCTCAATGAATAATGTTTCCTGCTAGCCACCTATGTATTTTAGTGAACAACCGGTCGAAATTGTGCGAGTGCGTGAATTGAATACGGAAAAGAAAGGTATATATACTTCATATTCTATATATGTGTGTGTGCGTGGAGGGAGGGGGGCATAGTATTCCGTATAACGTGAAAGATCGACTTCTGCGCCTACCGATTTGTCGAGTCATCTATTAAATTTATATACCTATGATTGCTATTTTATAGCGAGGGATTTTTTGCTATCTTCAGCCGTATAAACCGTCTTCTATGCAGTTTTAAACCACCTCGAAAGATATCATCTACCACTGCGTAATACAATTCCTTAATTTAATCCAGGAATACGCAGACATCAAATGTTTACACAGCCGCGTGCATCCACTACCTTTGCCTATACCTCTACAACGTCTTATTCCTAATCTGACGAACGATACTTACGCCTTCAGATTATTTGCCATTTCGCCTGCTCGTTAACTTTGGACACAGAAAATACAAAAAAGTTCTCGTACCCCCCCCCCCCCCCCCCCCCAGTTTTACCATTTGATTAACACCGGATCTCTGTCACGATATAATTCTTTAATTCAAATTTACCGAAGAAAGTTGATTGAGTGAAACATATGTATACCTTGCAACCTTCGCAAGTAAATGCTCCGAAGTGAAAACCAGCCGCAGGCTCCCCGCAGACTTTGCACTGTTGATTCATCTGTAAATAAAAAAAATAGAACTAGTTATTAACTTATACATAGATAAGATCATCGGATAAAGATTCCAAATGAAGCAAGCAAAAAATAAAACCTTTTAAAAAGTGCTGGTTTTAAAATTATTTAATAGAAGAGAGTTGAAAATGATACTATCGAAGAAAAAGTATAGATATTAAGAATTATATTTAATCATGCTTTAAGCTGAATAATACTTTTAAACATCAATAAATGTTAGTATTTATGCGTTTGAATGAATAAAAACAATGTATAATTATTGGGAAAAGATTATAAAAGACGTTATATATTCTGCTAATGTCAAACACGATGGGAAAGGTTCAGCAAAAATAAAATTTAATGTATTCTGGTGCTGTAATATTTTGTTAAACTTCATCGAAAATTATTTAACTATCTATGAACCAATTATCATTCTTAACTTTAGTAATATAGTTATATGAGTAACTAAACTGATTATGAAATATTTTCTTGGTCAAACAAACAACAGCACAAAAAATTTGCAGAATATAGGAATTATAATCTTTTCCCCAGAACAAAACTATAATTTATATAATTATTCTCTCGTATTAATAAATCGTAAGTACACACACACACGGCGCATTTTCTCTATTGTATAGAAAATTTAATGACTTATAGTAAAAATCAATCACTAAGAGATAACACGTCATTTTAATTTTAATAATGATCGAGCTCATTACCGACAACTAATTTTCGCAAACTTAAACGAATTACAATAAAAACTAGATTCTTTTACAGAAGTTTATCACCGTTTATATTTGATGCATTGTATAGAAAATCTTCAAGTGCTGAGACGACGTATTTCATATTATACGGGAATAATTATGAGTAGATAGATTGTTAGGTGAGTCGGAAATGTTTTATCTTGAATGAACTGTGCACAATAATCTTTATATATATATATATATATATATATATACATACACACACACACACATATATATTAGATACCCGACAAACTGTTATACCCGAGTACACTCATTTATATATAAACGATTTGATATTAAGATATAATGTTAACTATGCGCATGGATATTCGAATTGTAACGCATGTTGCCCTGATTTGCAGGACCAATATCCTATGATATACGCATGCAAGTAGAAAATTTTAATGCAAATTAGGGGCCTTATTGCTCTGTAATATACATAGCTTTTTATTTTGGAATTGATGTCAACTAGAGGAAGAATATGGATCTGCTAAATTACACAATATTTTAATGCTACATTTGTTGCTCTGCTTACAAGTAGTATGGGTTACCGGTATAAGTTATGAGCAATAAAGCTAATATTAGAACAATATAAGATGCGAAAGGAAGCACGTGTCCAATGCCAAAATAACGATTATAGTAGACATTGATCGTTATACATGTGTCTATAAGACAATAGAAGAAAGTCATGACAGAATAAGTGCTAGAAATACGTTATATTTATGTGTATGACACTATCACATTATTTGAAAGAAGTATAAAACAGCGAAATTATGGGAAGTCCGACCGCGATATTGAAAGTAGGTTCAATCGGTAAACGTATAACAAATAAGAGTTTGAAATAACTTACGACATCTAAGTTTGCGGCAGCAGCGGCAGCTCGTGGTTTTCGCTGAACTTGTCATTCGTGCACTACACCTGCGTAAATAAGAGCGCTGACGGCCGGCGTTTCTCATACGAAGCACAAATACAGGGAAGACGAGCAGACCCGAAGAACAATAAGGTGAAAGAGGACAAAACACTGTCGTATCACTGCCGGTTACGGGGTATGTGTGTGTTTAGGAGGAAGGGGGCGGCACTGTCGAACTGTCGATAGCACTAATAAAACTACAGCTCATGTAGCCCCGGAGCTGTGCAAGGACTGCGGCGGCGGCAACTAACAGCAACGACAACGACAGCGCGAATAGTGTAGAGCCGCGTCGCTGGACGACTGAGGACTGGCGCTTAACGATCCTCGACCTGTTGACGAGCGATGTAAGGTGGCCGATCTCCCGCGGGCTCCCCGCTCTTCGGCCACTAACAAAGGTGGGCCTGCTCCGCCCCTCCCCTCCGTGCGCCAGTGAGCTCGCGCGGCCTGAACGAGTCCGACCAATGTCTAGTTACCAGGGCGGTCTTCGGACTGCGGTCGACCAACCCATCACTAATTCTCTCTCAGCAGCCCGTTGCTCACTGCAATTGTGAGTGCGCTCTCACTCGCGACCTGCACTTGCCAGGAGTGCGTGTCGTCCAAGTCTCCTGTGACCTCTCTCCGAGCCCCTCTCCCCCGCCACCTGGCTTGCTATCTGGCGCGCACTCGCCAATCCCACTCACCAAGATGAGCCAACGAAGAGAGAACGGCATGCTGCTTAGTTAGCACGCAAAAGCGTATTCATCTCGGCAATTGCGCGACCGTGCACTTCCTGCTGCGAGCCTCTCTCCTCGTCCCGCTCCTCCATCAGCCTCTCTCTCTCTCTGGCTCACATACTCGCACACAGGCGCGGGATTTATGCTTTTCCACGTTCCCATGCCCGCTCTCTTATTATCCGCAAATAAATTCGATTCTCTGGCCGTGCCGTGTTTCACTGCTTATCCAACCTCTCTGTCTTCTCCTATCGCTTGAGTGTTTTGTGTCTTCGTTTATCACGTTGCGAATCACACGTCTTCTCTGCACGGCATTGTGCGCAGTCGACAACACAGATCCGTCTGATCGACTTATGCATCTTCTCCATTCTCCTATTCGACTATATATCCGATGTCCTGCTGTATGAACTAACAGCACCCATTATGAAAAATGATACATATGTGCATGCGAGAATAACCGGCGACAACCAAGACAATGTATATCTCTCCATCCTGTCAGTACTGCAATTTGCCCTGCGCGCTGATTAACGAGTTGATATACATTATTTCGCGGGACCGAGCTCGAAGCTGGCTATAAAGACCGACCTGACAATATTCATGTCGTTTGCCACTTCATGTCTTACTTCTTTTCACTTTTTTATCTTTATCTGACGTCAATTAGTCGACCATCCAAGCAAACTTCCTATGCTTCTGTAATATGTTATGCGTGCCATCTTTTATACTCCACAAAGCACCCATGCACACTGCTCATTTAACCAACATTCGCTTGATTAATGCTTACCTGCTACTGCAATTTTTCTTTCAAACTGTTTATGAATGATCAAATCAATCACTGCACACGTAGCTCTATATATTTTCTTGTATTCATCCATTTCTGAACATTCATTTAAATCATTTGCGTGATTTGTCGCTAAGGCATTAAGCTGATTTTTCTACTTCGATTACATTATTATCCATGCAAAATATTTCATCTATTGTATTATTCGGTCTGCAACAGATTTCATTTTTAATAAGGGATTCTTTCCAATTTTATTTTTACTGGTTCACTTGGAATCACGAACGCACGTTAAATGTTGCAATCTCGATAGCTGGCTGTATCGTTTTCATATACATCGAAAGCAGTTCTACTTATGGATTGTAATTCAACTATATTCACTTACCAACTTAAATATAACAGCTCCAAATAATTTTTATCTTTGGAATCGCGTAGGACATATACATAATATTTTCTAAGATTTTTTTATGTACGTTATTATTTGCAATAGTATGTAAATATTTACTGGCCAAGCGGTTTCTTTAGCATTCATGAACATTGTCGAATACAGAATTCGATGGTATAACGTATACTTGTGATCATTATTTTTATGTGTATGATTTGTATAAAAAGCTTTCTTTACTCATAGAATCTAATTAGAAAGAAGAAGTAAAATACAACTTTTTTTCTCTCGAGTAACCCGTCTTATCATTGCCATAATTTCTGAGTGCTGAACTTAAGTTATGACTTTGAAAATTAAATTGATAAACAATGCATAAATTGATACATTTTATCAGAAGAAAGCGATATTGTATATGGATTTACAAATCAGTGAATCGGACTCTAATATTATTATAAAAATTAATTTTATTATTTGAAAATCAACGATTTCATCTAGTAAGGATATTTTTTCCATTCAAAATATTTATTAGACTACAACCTTAATTTCATAGAACGCGTTTAGTGTCGATTATATATATTCTGTAAACGCTTTTGTAAATGAATATTCTTTGCCTTGTATGAAAAAAAAAAAATCTGACAAAGTGAAACTAAGTTATTCGTGGTCTTCTTGTCTGGAGCTACTCTCATATGACTATATGTTCGTAAAAGATAACTAAACTGTAGGTGATTAATAGTTTAAGAAGTGTTTTTATACGTATAGATTTATTAAGAATTGATTGAATCATTAACATTTGACAATAACATTTTAAGAAAGTTTTGGATAATATTATAATGGGAATAACGGGTATATTCATTCTATATCAATCAAAAATGTTTTCTCTTAATGGAAATTTACAAAAAGAAAAACGTTGTCAACTTCATTGGCAGAGTGTTTCCTTGAAGAACTACTAGAATTATGAAGTTTTTGTTTTCTTCCGCAGCTTAATAGCAGTTTTAAACAATTATTAAGCTAACATTGCCTCACAATTGGGTGATCTCGTTGTAAACAATGCATTTCGCTCGACTTTACTTTAAAGCTTTTCATTATCAAATTCTAACGTGGAACGTGTAAAAACTGCACATATAACCACAGAGCTTCGCTTTTGATAAAAAATATTTCCGGATTAGTAGTAATATTACTTATTCATTAACTTTTTTAATAAAAGCATTATTTATATGAGATAATATGCATAATTATACATATACACTAGAGGCTTTACCCCCTGCGCGCTCTGCGTACCAATCCCTCATTTTATATTATTTAAACTACATTACCATGACAACATGATTCCTTCGTATGATTTATCATAAAATCAGTTACTAGTTTTATCCAATGAAATGAGTATTTTTGAATGTTTTAAGAAATTTTATTTAATAATTTTATTATACATCATTACTACGAATTTTAGCTGAAAAGAATATAAAAAAATCAGATAATAAATTAAAAATTACGTAAATCTTCATCCGCATAGAACATATTCAAAATTTTCACTTTCAAGATTTATAATAATTCAAAATTTTTAAACCGAAAATGTCCTACGCACAAATCTTAGACATAAATGTAATCATGAACTTAGTTCCAAAATCATTAATTCGTTCAATGACACGTTATTATTTGTTATTTGATTATGAATATCAAAGAACATATAATTTTATTGTTCATCCGCCATGATTATGTAATATTCTTTCTTGAATAATACTGCTATAAGCTTAAAGTTCATAATTTTTTTTTTCATTTAATTTTGGTTCGCTCCTGATGTATTCTGGTAATTATTATATGAAATGATATTTTAATATAAATTATTTAATCATTAATTTTTCTCATATCCACTACCTGAAGAGGCGTCGAATACGAGATTAATTACTGAAGAGTATATATGTGAGATTGTAACAGTGTCAGTATTTATGCATGTGCACCATTATTGTTAGCTGATTATTTTTCTGCACATGTGTTCAAATATTTGAATAGTTATGTTATATGTTTAGGACTTGTATATAAATAACTTTTTGTGTTTGTAATAAATATATTAATATCGCTTCACTTCATTTAAATATTTCACATCACATCACTGCATCGCACTTAATAATTTCACGTCACTGCACTACACTTAATAATTTCACATCACTTTACATCACTTAATCACATGTTCTTTATTTATAACAAATTTACTTTACCAATTTTGCTTCATTTTATAATTTAACACAAAATATATAATTTAACACATCATTTCTAAAACAATTGAATAAATTGATATAGAGCAGCTTTAATTCTGGCTATCAACACACTGTGATTGAAAATAAAATTTATATTTATCAAAATTATATACCAGATTTTAAATATTAAGTATTGACATGTCGTTGAATTTTGAAAAAGTTACTTTCCTTTATATACAACAATAATTGATATTTTAAAATGTAAAATATACATAATATAATATAATAATACAGTTTTAATCGTGATTTTATAGTTTTTTCTAGTTTCCTTTCCCATTATTCAAGAAATGGGCTTAATTGAACTTTCATCAAATAACTATATTTAATCTATATATCATTACTATCGATTTATGATCAAAAAAGGATTACAAGACAACTAAAGAATACATATTACATTTAAAATTATGAATTGACAACCTTAATAGAAGTGCAAAAATAATACATACGTTATCTACTAATAGTTTCTCAACCTAATAATTATATGAGGTTAAAATAATTATTTATTAATAATATTAATATTATTATTAAATATAATTATTAAATAATAAATTTTTATTAAATATTATTATTAAATAATATTATTATTATTAAATAATTTTACTCCTTATTCTATTAAAAAGCCTTGATCATTGAACATTTTCATTTGCAAATAATATGTTCCATTAGTAATAGCAGCGTGATACTTATTGGGCTTATTTTTGTTCACGTTCAAAAATTTATTTGGAAGATATCCTTAAAATTCTAAATAATAATTTATACATATTATGCAAAATATTTCATTTTCATTATATTTTTATCACATAAATAATAATTAAATACTTATATAAGAAGATTGACTTTTTTTTATCTTCAAACGAAATTACTTGTAAATCAGTTAGATCTTCTGGATCATAGTGATGTAATTTTTTTTATCTTGCATTTTTATATTCAAACAAAGTATATAATCTATGTTATCATTATTATATCTTTATACATTATTATCACCAATATAAATAATCGATTTAAAAACTTTACGAATCTAGATTAGGATTCCTATTCCAACTTCTTTCTTTGTCTTTACACATTACAAATTTGTTGAACTTACAATACTAAGATATTCTTAAATTTAATTTACTATAATATTGTCAATATTATAAAATTACATTAATCCTAAATTTCTTCCGAAACAATATTTAGAACAC